ACTGTACCCTTTTATGTAATGATGTTTACTTTGAATTTATATTAGTTCACACAAACACTCCATCCATGCTTTTGTTCCGGCCCTCCGGTCCAGTTTAAGAACCCATTGTGGCCCTCGAGTCAAAAAGTTTGCCCACCCCTGTCCTAAACTCTAAACAGCCAGGGCAGCAATGGGCAGGGGCAGTTCATCCCAGGCCAAACCCCTGCACCTGTGCCCCAGGCCCCCTCTTCTGACGTCTCAGTGAACCGAAGCAGACCCACCGAGGCTCATTTCCCCACCTAGTCCCTCTCCTGTTCTCGTTGGCCCTTCCTTGTTTCTCTGTCTCAGCTTTAATAATCATCCTTTAAAATTAAGAAAAAATTATAGTGATTAAACCTTGCTAAGAACCAGACTTTCTGAATCTCATTAAATGGCAGCATCGTGTAACCAACTTTTCAGGGTATGAAACCTTCAGTCGGCCCTTATTCCTCTTTTTATGTTATTCCCTACATCCAATCCATCAGAATGTCTTGCTGTTTCTACCTCAAAAATGTATTACTTTTCTCCATGAAACAACTGTTGCCAAACTATTCTGTAGAGTCCAATGTTAGCTACTTGTTATTTTAGATCTTGCAGGCCTTGCCCTTGTAATGTAAAAGAGGCCAGACAACACATTAAATGCTTGGCTATGGCTGTGTTCCAATAAGACTTTATCTACAAAAACAAGTGTTCCAGATTTGGTCCACAACCATGGTTTGCTGACTTCTGCCCTGAAGTATGCCAGCTTTGGCTTTCTCCTCAATTACTGCCATAGGCTCCCAACCATTCTCTCTGCAGCCACTATTTCCCCTACAATCCATTCTCCATATAGCAGCAACATTGACTATTTAAAAATGCAAATTATTAGCAAATCTTTAACTTAAAATCTTTCAATAACCATCCGTGGCACATAAGCCCCTGTATGATCTGTCTGTACTTACTTCTCCAACTTACCCTTGATTCAAACATGCTAAGCATGTCTTCTCTCAGCTGTTTTCATGTCATCTCCTTGGAGATTTTGTCTCTGACCACCTTATTTAAAGTAGGGTACTCCATTATTCTCTAGCTCACTATTTTATTGCCTCCACAGTACTTATCACAATGTTTCTCATGTTCACTTGTTTTTATCTGTCTTTCCCACTAGAAAATAACTTCTTTTCAAAGAAAATGTCTATATTGTTCTAAATTTTATCCCCAGGACCAGCACACAGTAGGCATTCAATAAACATGTGCTGAATTTATTAACGTAAACACATCCTTGATCTCACAGATCCTCGATATTTCCTGAGGGAGACAGCTACTGAAAGTTTACAAACATGAAATTGTCCTAAGTGTTCTGGAAGAAGAGAACAGTGTGCTATAAGAAAGAAGTATCGAGGAAACAAGGGAAAAAGGTCTAAGAGGAGTTTGTCAGTCAGAGGGTACAGCATGGGCAGAAGCCTTATGGGCTTCACACAAAAAATTATGGAATTCTATTTGGTTCCTGAGTTTGGCTAATTTCTAAAACTAAATAGTTAAGTTTGAGCTAGGGCTGGGATCCTTCAGGATTCAAACTCCAGAATAAATCGCTTAAATTGGGAGGATTTCATGTTGGATTGAATAGTGTGTGTGTGGTGGTGGTGTTTCGGGGGGTGGGGGGGAGAATAAGGCTCCTTATGATCGGGTCTGTTTTCCTCTTTAACGTCATTTCCTACCAGCTCTCCCTCTTGCATTCCAAATGGGCCTCCGTGCTATTCCTCACCTTGGCAAGCATGCTCCCACCGCGGGGCCCTTGGGCTTTCTGTTTCTTCACCAACACTCTCCCTGAATACCAGTGACTGATGCTTTCACTTCATTCAGCTCTCTGCTCTAAATGGCATCTCCTCAGAGGTGTCTTCTCTGACCACAAATCTAAACTAGAAGTCCCTGCCCTTCTCTCTTCCTCTACCCTGCTTTATTCCGTTTTCAGAGAAAAATATCACATATCTGTTACTGTTTATCTCCTCAACTTAAACATACGTTACCTAGAGCAGGGCTTAATTTGTGTTCACCGCTACCTCCTGGGCACCTAGAACAATATCTGAAGCTCAAATACGTGTAGAATGAACAACTATTGACATATAGCCAGCATCTGAAGGCTTTGTGTGTGCCAGCATGTGCTTCAGATGTAGTAACTCATTTAAGCCTCCCAACCACCCTTGCATTACTTCAGGTAAGCAATATCATCAGTTCCATTTTACAAGTGTCGCAACAGATAAAGGTTAGCCGACTTGCCCATGGTCACACAGCTGGAAAGAGACAGAGCCTGGTAGGAACCACGGTATCTGATCTGGAAGTTCGTGCTGTACCAGCTCACACATGACTGACCACTTGGTAGGAGTGGCCCCTCCTCCTTTGAACTGAGGCATGAGCATCCCAGTCACTATAATCTCCACTCAACAGCTTCATCTATTTATTTCACCTGCCAGGGCTCTACAGGTATTGATATTTGTGCTCCCTGGGTTACAATATTAATTCTGGCCTTCAGTTTTGACTTGTTACATAAACCTCTTTGAATTTTAGCTCTGAATTCATCTATTTAATGAGATCGTGATCGTCCCCAAAGGAAAGCATGTAGACAAACATTGGGCATGTTGCTGTTGTTATACCGCTATAATGAAAGCTATTAATTCGGGGGCGGTAAGGTATCACTGATGACTTGTGGCAGATAACTAAATCCTATTTAAACCCCCTCTTGGTGATTCTTTAAAAGTGTACTATAAGGCCCTGGCTCAATACATTATATATTAAGCTCTTTGTGTTATAAACTAAACTAAAAGTCTCTGCGTTTTTCATCAACTTAACAACAAACTTCTACCATGAATAAGAACCAGGACGTACCAGGATAAAGAACAAAAAATATCAAACATAGACTGAGCGCTTATTATGGGCCAGACCCTGAGTCACAAGTGCTTTGTATACACCGTCTCATTTAATAATCACAAGAACTCAGACAGGATCTCAGTTCTTCGTGCCCAAAGTTGCTCAGCAAGGAACTGTCAGAGCCAGTACTCATCCTAGGGCAGTGTGACAGCAGGGTCCGGCTCTCAGTACCGAACCGCAAGGCAGTGGGCCCAGCCTTGGAGGGGTTCGCACCTCCAGCTGTCACTCAGGGGCGCCACCGGGTCAAATCCCAGCCCCGGGGGACCGGCAGGAACAGGTCCACCCGGCGCAGCACAGAGCGGTGTCAGCGGAGTGGCAAGCTCGGAGCTTATACCTTTGCCGGCGGTTTCCACTCGGGGCTTCGGGGCGGAGGGATCCATCTGGCCCGGGGGCGGGGCCTGCAGCCTCGA